CTGGGGAGCACCAGGAATGCTAGGAATCGTAGTTCTGGTGGCAGACGGATCTCCTAGACACTAGAGCAAAGTGAGCCTGGAGCAAGTTACTGTTGCGGTGGGGGATAGAGGGAAAGCAAAGGTGAGAGATGTAAGTAAAATCAGTGTCTAGGAAAAATTAAAGGGAAGATTTCCTAAAACTTCCAGGAAATCTCTACCAATGAAGCAAAGAGGGAAAAAAAAGCCTCTGTTCTCTGAGCAACAAACCAAACTTGGTTGGGGGTCTCAGACAATTTGCTCCTATGATTTCAAAGACAGACAGAAACTCCCGGATTGGAGAGGGCTCCCCTGAGCCCTCTGGGGGCTCCCAGATTGGAAAGGATGCAGGTCAGGCTGAGGTGAATCTTCGTGCACTGGGCTTCTAGTAGTAAATAATTAATTTCTATCTGAATTCAATGAAAGCAGTATTAATTATTACAATAGTGAGCAATTTAGCTTGTTAACTGACTTCTGAGGTACAGTAATGTTTTTGTTATTGGTAGGTTCAAGTTTAGAAATTTTTTCATTGTTCTGAAGAGTATTAATTCTGGAAACTCATGCATGATACTTTAAAAGTTTCTGTCTTTATAATTAATTCAGTTATAGTGAGGGCAGCTCTTTTACTGAGAGGAAAAAAATATATATGAACCAAAGCAACCATTACCAAATGTGCCACAATAGCCTATACAAGGTACTGGTATATCCAGGCAACTAACCAAACACTCCAGAGCTCTGTTGCCAACCCTTGGCAGAAGTGCTTTATGTCATTTTTGTTCTGTGTCAACAAGTGACATGCGGTCTCTAGGGAAAACACAGGGGAGAGTATTTCAGTGATGATATGAAAATGACAGGGAACCTATTTCCAAAAGTCCAAATAGGTGTGAAATAATTTCTTGAACACTTAAACTCAAAATAATATCCAACATGATTCAGCCTACATCATGGTATCAGCAATACATTACGAAGAAGCAGTGAATTATTAACAATGAAACAGAACTCT